CCTGGATTTGAACATTTCCACCAAAACTTCTTCAGCCTAACCGAAAATGGAGTTTTCTTCAATTATATGGAAACAAGAAGAAGAGAAAAGATTCAATATCATACCGCATTTTTCAGCAAAGCATTTAACTTCGAGGGAGGCCTTGTTCTTGAAACCTCATCTCATGTTAGCCATTCCACAACTTTTGCAATTCGGCGAGTCCCATTCCAGCAAGAGGCTTGCATAGTTGATGGAACTAGAAAATATAGATTCTTGAAACAGCCAACTAGCCGGAACATCTACTCTCTTCACGACTTGGTAAGAAGGCAGCATCGAGTTTGCTAGAGCCAAATTAGACGTTGCAAAGAATGAAAAGGTAGAATTGCTTAGGCAAGGAATGGGCGGATACCAAGACGGCATCACCACCTCCTTAGGACAGGTCAAGAAAGTGTAGTCAACATTGAGGCGATGAGAGAAAGGAGTTCCTGAAATATTGAATGTTAAAAGCCGTTTAACCAAGCACTTTCGAGGGTCGTTGATTAAAATCTGCTGCTTCGCGTACTTGATTTCATCCACAAGAAATATTCCAGACATAGGAAGCTCTAGGACTGTCTTATTGAGATYGGTGCAGTGGAGATTGAATCCCGTGTGGCCACAAAAAGGGAAACGGATGGGGTCTTCGAAGCGTCCACATCTAAGTGAATCATAATAAGAAGAACATTTTCTGGGGTTAGAGGCGTGCAAGAGAGGGAAGTTGAAAAGGGAGAAGAGGAGTAAAGGGAAGACTTGTTTTGAGAGAGTCATAATGTGGTTTGGAACTGATTAATAGAACTGATTAATGGAATTGTTAAACGAAAATTCTATAAAAGAGTTCAACTATTCTTATACGCACTAATACGAGGAAAGTCAGAGAATTGTAAGTTTTCTTAGAAGAATAGTCAAATGATGTATAAATGTTGTCTAATTGGTGTTTATCTGTTTAGATAATAATAACTAGGTCATATATACAACTTGAAATGCAAA